TGATGAATATGTTATTGTTGTGGTAGAATACAAGTACCAACTCTGGTTCCAGCAAAGGAGTAAAGAAGAAGTGCATCCTCTTGGATTGCAAAAACTCTGGTAAAACTGTTGCAAAGGGCAGAGTTTGTTCCACTGATCCTGCAGCTTTTACTGCATTTCAAACCCATAGGTCCCAATGCTAGCAAGGTCTGGGTTGACGTTTCAAAGCTTGATGATGCAAAAGTATGGAGACCAAGTTCAGAAGTGAAATTCATATCTGATGCAATAGGCACACTAGTGGTTTGGCCTAATGACAAGATTGTGTATGTGTGACTTATTTAACTTTTTAGATTGTTGACTTGTTAAAGTTTCTTTTGTTCTTGTTGAATGCACTACTTTCAGATATTGTTAAGTTATGAAAGTTTGGTATTAATATATTTATTTATTAACTACAATATAAATGCATTGTAACAATTAAAAATTAAATATATAAATTCATGCAAATAAATTGAAAATGCATGCAAAAATACACAGACTTTTTAAATAAATATGAAAAAATCGAGTTAATGCTTTTGTTAAAAAATTAGAATTTATTGTGATTATTTAAAAAATAAAATCGAATTAATGGGTTTTTAAAAATAATAAATGAGATAAATACTAAATTATAACATAATAATTATATAAATAATAACATATATACAATTCAAAAACAAAAATTAAGAGTTTAGGGAATAGTCTTTAGGGTATAGAATTTAGGGTTTAGGGTATAGAATTATGTTAGTAGCTAATAATAAATACTTAATTATAACATAAATAATTAATTATAATATAGTAATTATATAAATAGTAACATAGATACATTTTAAAAACAACAATTTAAGAGTTTAGGGTATAGGGTATAAGGTTTAGGGTATAGAGTTGAGGGTTTAGGTTTATGATAGTTTTCAATAGTAGCTAATACTAATTTTATAAAAAAATAACATATGTAGTTATAATTCAATAAGTTTATTGATTATAACAAATATTATTATGTTTCAACAATTTGATTTACACAATAAGAAGATTAGTGTACATGTTTTCTTAGGTAACAATATGGAATACCATAAAAATTTCTAAAAACGTTTCAAATATTTTTAATCAATTTTTTAAAAATATCAAAAATTTTAAATAACTCATAAACACATTAATCTGTCAATAAATAATTTTTTTAAAAATTTGAAAATTGCAAAATGGCATGTAAAACATATTTTTATGTCTTCAAATAAAATAGCCACTTATAATTATTCACTTGGATCGATGACGTGGTGAAATCTCAGCCGTTCCTCATGACATCTGAATCTCTTGTTGAAGCTTTCATAAACCATCCAATCAATATGCATCACTTGGATACATGACGTGGCGATATCTAAGCCTTTGATCAGCCCGTTTCATCTCATTCTCGACTTTTAAATCAGAATTATTTTTTTTATTTGTCAACAGAAGAAACGAGAGAGTTAGGTCTTATTCGTTTCATCTCTATTCAGCCTCCAAATTTTCTGATTCTTTCCTCTAAACTTCAACTTTATTCAGCCTCCAAAATAAAGATCCAGTTTCCTCCAACATGAAACTTCCTCCAACCGTTCTCGCATCCGACGAGGATTCTCTTTCTTTCCTCCAACCGTTCATTTGCCTTCGACAAGCAGCAAGAAACTTCAAGATCTGTAACCAAAGCTTCTCCCTTTTTCCTCATATTTAGATTAATCAATTCTTAAATTGATTAATTCCGTTGCTGTTCCAGGTAATAGAAGATCTGCGTTCAGTTAATCAATCTCCAGGTAGTACTCTCTTCATCCTTTCGGATAATTTTTATTGTTTTAGAAGCATAGTGATAACATGCGACTGAATGATTAGGGTTTCTCTAAATGAATAAGATGTTAAATTTGGTTCTCTGAATCGGTAAGATCCGACTGAATGCTTAGGTTGAATGATTGATTAAGGTTTCATTGATTCTCTTTTGTGTATCGGTTGTATGATTCTCTTTTGCATAAGGGTTTTGTTCCTTGCATAAGTGTTTGGAGACCTAATTCAGAAGTTATAATTCTGTTAATTGTAACCTGCATTGTTATTGCATAAGTGTCTTCAAACTTGCATTGTTATTGCATTTTACGGTTTTGTTCCTTGCATAAGTGTTTTGTCTCCATAGCGTGTATTATGCATTCTTATTGTTTGGATTAGCCCGAAAATGGTGAATGTAAAATAATTTAAGATGCTGTCTTTATTTCTCTTGTCGACCAGGTTAGAGTGATGAGCTAGTCATGCATCATGGACACAACTTGAAAGGTTTTGCTTTTCTTAACTCATTCTCATTCAAAACAATTAATCAGAAAAATATTTGACATTAACATCTTCATTTTCTAACAGGAATAGGGCTAATGATATGGGCTTAAAGACAAATCATCGAAGTCTTGGACGTTAGGGCTAATGATTTGGGTTTAAAGACAAATTAGTTATAGGGCCTATTTAGACCCAATTAATATCTTGTACTTTTTGATTGTGTTTTTTATTTAGGCCCATCAAAACAAGATTTAATATCAAATTATTGCAAATTCTGAATTTTGTATTCTATATCCTTCTACTTCAAACAAAATAAAACTACAGTACAATAATTTGTACAAATACTGTATTTCCAAAAAAATCATACTATATATTACACATCTCATACATATACGTATGATCATTACGTATGTTAAAATGTATAATACATGTATTTTTACACGTATGTATACATGTATAATTTACACGTATGTATACATGTATAATACATGTATTATTACACGTATGTATACATGTATAATACATGTATTATTACACGTATGTATACATGTATAATACATGTAATATTTACACGTATGTATACATGTATAATACATGTATTCTTACAAAAATGCTATCTGTATAGAAAATAAAATGCTATCCCTGTTGGCCAACTCCCCTCGAGGTACATCAATTATTACATATCAGGACTGCTATTATAAATAAATAAAACTGCTATAAGAAACATATATAAAGAGCTTATACCCGACGCTATTGAAAATTTACTTATAGCAGAAATGAAAACGCTATATTACTTACGGTTTCTATAGCATTAGCAAAACACGCTATATAAAGTGTGGGACCTACTATAACGGGCGCAGACATAGCGCTTTCTACAATGCTATTTCAGGATACAATAGCGATTTTGCTAAGCTATTAAAACCCTCATTTCCTGTAGTGTACGGAAGTTCTGATTGCTAACATTCAAAAAGCAGAACAAGTAAATTGATTACTGGTATAAAAGTGGCAACAACAAGTCCTTCGGTTTCACCCTTGCTTTTTGCGGATGATAGTTTGTTCTTTTGTAAGGCTACTAAAGAACAATGTGAAGTTAACTTAGGAATTTTAAAGCAATATGAAGCTGTTTTGGGACAACAAATTAATTTTGCTTAGTTCTCAATTCAATTTGGCCACAAAGTTGATGACTCGATTAAGAGGGAAATTAACGGAGCACTAGGTATTTAAAACATTAGCGGTATGGGATCATATCTTAGATTACTGGAAAATTTAGGTGGATCCAAGAAAAAAATATTTTCCTTTGTAAGAGACAGTTTACAGAATAGAATAAATGGTTGGACGACTAAATTCTTATCGAAAGGTGGTAAAGAGGTGTTGATTAAATCGGTAGCCGCTGCATTACCAACTTATGTTATGTCTTGTTTTAGACTACCAAAAACATTCACTTCCAAACTGACAAATGCGGTAGCAAAATTTTGGTGGAGCTCAAATGGTCAATCAAGGGGTATGCATTGGATAAATTGGAACAAACTATGTATAAGTAAATCGGAAGATGGGCTTGGGTTCATAAATGTGGATGATTTTAATTCGGCTCTATTATCAAAACAATTATGGAGATTAATTACGGTTTTCAATTCATTTTTTTGCGAAGTTTTTCAAAGGAAGGTATTAATCGGAAGTCCAATCCTCTAGACCAAATAAAATCTTACTCTCCATCTTATGAATGGCGGAGTATAATTTCAGCTAGATCTCTAGTAAATAAAGGCTTCTTAAAAGAGTCAGTTATGGGACGTGCATCTCAGTATGGAAGGATCCGTGGATACCAGCTCTACTCTCGAGAATAGCAATTCTTAAAGGTTTTTTTTTACACATCCCTTAAAGTCAAAAGTCTTACAGACAGCCGGTCGAAATCTTGGAACATTGATCTTCTAGAAGAATTTTTGATCTGGAAGATGTACCATTAATTTTGCCTTACCTTTGGGTGTGCCAGCAAGAAGGATACTTTAGATTGACATTTTACAAAAACAGGTAAATATACAGTTAAGTTTGGATATTATACGTCATGGTTAGAAAATTTGGAGGTCAATCCAACGTAATTTTTTATCCAAATACAAAACCGTTGAAATCACAAACTTGGAAATTGCAATGCCCACCAAAGTTAAAACACTTTTTATTGGCAAATTTTATCTGGTTGTGTATCGGTTACGGTAAATTTGCAAAAATGGAGAATAAATTGTGACATAGAGTGTCGCAGAAGTGAGGAAACAGAGGAAACAATTAATCTTGCCATTTTTTGAATGTCCCCCCAGCTTGTCAGACGTGGGTGCTATCACCAATTCCTATGGCACCTATCATCACGAATTTTTCCAACAGCCTCTATCATCACGAATTTGAATCATCTTTTTTTGGAGAACAAGCTCATAAGTCGATATATCTTCGGTTCCACGGATAATATGGGACACATGGGAAGCGCCCATCCTGGAAATAGCTAACACTATTGATAAAAAAAAACCTTTGGAGGTCATGCGTTTAGCAGAGAATGAGGTACTGGCAAAGCAGTTAGCTCAAATTGAGCTTCACCCGAAAAATCAGGTTTCTTTGGAAATGGATAGTCGTATCCGGGGAGTAGTTGGTTCAATTGTGTCAATCAATTCCGGTTTTTGATGTTACATTGATGGTTCATGGAAAGGGATTGAAAAGTTCTCAAGCGCAGGGTGGTACTGCTCGTTAGCTAACGGAGAGTCGCCAACAATGGGAGCCGCCAACCTCCAAAGGAGGCTAACTCCACTACATACTGAAGTGAAAGCATTTGTCTAGGCGATGAGGTGCATGATTATTGCCGACAACCAAGACGTAACATTTTTTACAGATTGTTCTGATTTGGTGAAAATAGTGTCTTCTCTAACCGAATGGCCAGCATTTTCAGCGTACCTGGAGAAGATTCAAATCAACAAAGAAGAATTTTCTAATTTTTCTTTCTCTTTAGATTTCCGTAGTGCAAATATTAAAGCGCATAATTGGGCATGAAGATTTCGTACCGAACTACATCATATTATCTATGTAAACAACATCCACAGGACTGGCTCTTTTGAGCAATATTAATTTAAGTTGTTGACAAAAAAATAAAAAATACTAACATTAGTAATCTATATAATAATAACAATCTCAATAATTTTTTTGAAGTTGTGTACAGTTATGTTTTTTTTATCATAATCTTTCGTTAATTTTTTTTCAAAAACTAAAATAATTATTTTACAATTGTATTTAGTAAGAAAGTTGCAATCCGAATAAATGCTTCCACAGTTGTGTCTTTTTACCGTAACTATACATAAACGTTTGTTACCGTTTAGTTGAACCACATCAATATTTAATTTATTTAAAAAATTATTGCAATTTTTGGTTTATCTTATGAACCGTTGTAATTTTTCTATATAATAATAGAAAACCGAATAAATGCCTTCTACGGTTGCGTCTTTTATCATAATTTTTCATAATTTATTATCATCTTTTTCTATATAACCGACTAGTTTAACTATTGCAGCATTTGGTTTGTTTAACGAATCATTATAACTTTTGTTTATTTTCTAAATTGTTGTAACATTTAGTTATCTACAGTTATGTCGTCTTTCAGTGTAACAATATAACTACATAAATTATTAGTTTTTAATTTTTTCTTAAATATATTTAAATGAATTGTTGTAACCATTTAGTTGAATTGTTGTAACATTTGGTTTATTTAACGAATCATTCCAACTTTTAGTTTTGTTTTATGAACTAAGTTTTGCATAACTAAGTTAAGATTTTTCCATCTAAAATTAAGGAAACACAATTTTAGAAAACTAAATTAACCATAAATATATGGAAAAATTAATTAAGTTATTAAAACATAATTTTCATTTATAAAAAATATTAGAAACAAAAAAGATGGAATTTTTTAACTTATTTATGCAAAACTTAATTAGTTTATATATTCATACTTAGAAAACTAGTATCTCTTTTTTTTTTCTTTTCAAAATGTTATTAATTTATGTTTCAGAATTCGCACATTAACTTGTCCACAAAATAAAAAAAGATCGAGGACTCTCTCTCTTCTCTCTTCCATATTTTTCAGAGAGAGAGTTGGCTTCGTTCCTTACTTCGCCGTCTGGAAATCTCTAGCAAGGCCGTCCAGTTAGTTCAACTGGCTTCAGTCCGACATCCATCGGATTCTTATACGGAGATGGTCGGCTTTCGTCCAGCCAATCGGCTCCCACATGCGGTTTTGGCTGGTTTTGTATTTATTTCCGCCGTGAATCGGTTTCATACCGATTTATGTAGTCCTATTTAGTTTATCTTTTAATAACCTCTCTGGATCTATGTTTGGTGGTCCTAATCCAGCGATTTCTCGCTCAACGGTGGCCTTCTCCAACTATTTCTTTGAGTCTTGCTTTGTTTTATGTCTCCGGTGGTTTCCAGTGAGATTATGCGTTGTCTAATCCGGCCAGATCGGGTGGATTTGCTGTTTTCTCTCTCGGATGTTCTCAAACCGGTTCTTCAGATATATGGTTTACAACAAACCTGCATTGGTGATTACGTTCAACGTAATGAAAAGAAGACTTGTTTCCAGCATATTATTGGATTGTAAATAGGTTTAGTTATTGGTATATGTTAACCGGATTGTATAGTTACCCGGTTTGTATAGCTGAACACTATATATACTTGTAATTTACACATTTATTCAATAACGAGAAAATCATTTCATAACAAACTTTCTCTTTCTCTGATCTAGATCCATTTCTCGTAATATGGTATCAGAGCCATCAAAGCTCTAGATCTCTCGTTTTCCACCATTTTTGAGCTCCGATCTTGCTCCGATCTTCTTGATTTCAGCTCCGATGGTGTCTGTTCCGAAGATTCCGCGCAAATCGACTCTTTCTAAAGCTTTGACGAGCTCTGTAGTCACTCGTCCTCGCAAATCAACTCGATCCTCTGGTGTTCCGATTTCTCCTCCCGATTCTCCTCCGGTTGCTATCGATATGCTTTCCGGAGCTTCGCGAGCTGATACAACGCCAGATATCTCAGATCCGAGTTCTTCACCGTACTTTATGCACAGCGCTGACCATCCAGGTTTGATTATTGTTTCTCTTCGTCTTGATGGAACGAATTACGATGATTGGAATGTTGCGATGGAAGTTGCGTTAGATGCTAAGAACAAATTAGGATTTATAGATGGAACTTTGACTCGTCCGGTTGAAACTGATAGAAATTTCCGTCTATGGTCCCGTGGAAATAGTATGGTTAAG